TTATTTTAAAATGTTGAAATTCCTCGAGGAATCAGTTCCCCTTTCATTTGTTACACATCTGCATTGAAAGTTCTCTCTTTTCACTTTTTTCCTCTAGTAATTCTTTCTTTTTTACCCTCAAACGAGAGGTTAAGATAACACACCCAGTGCCAGTCTCAGGACCATTATGAGCATTGCAGGGATAAAAGAATAGTAAAGGTGTAAATGAAAGGCAGAGAGAGGGGCTTCGCTTCTGCGCCACTGTGCTGTCCAGGACATTTGAGTTGATCATTAAGCAGAAAATCAATGCTGAATTCCACTTGAGCTTGAAGGCAGCAACATGTGGGGAACATTTCTTAGTGCACACACCTTTCAGATTCACACACACTCACATTTATAAGCTATACTCAAGTGTGTGCAACTATGACAGGAAATGAATATTTAAGCACTGAGCCGCAGGTGTAGGAGCTGCAGCCATTTCTTGAGTCTTCTTGAGCACATCATTTATTTACAAGTTTGAGGCTTCAAAGTGGGTTTAAACATCATCATTTTCTCTCCGTGTTCGCTTTAATCAGGCACATCATCTCCTCCACCCCCTTCCTCAACTTTAGTCTCCATCTGCTTTGCTCACAGGTGCTGTGGGAGAAGTTCTCCTGCAGAGTCTCTAAAAAGATGTTTCTGTTTCTCCCCTGTCAGGGGTTACAGATCAGAGTGTGCTAGTTTTCTTAAATCCTCAAGTCCAGGAGTTCAATGCCTAAACAAAAACACACCCAGGAGGAAAGAAGTTGTCAGAGAAGGGGCAGTCTTTGAGGTATGGGTATGCAAAGTGGGAGGAAATGTGTGTGCGCAAATGTACATATGAGCTAAAGCCCTAATAGAGTTTTAGTCAGGATGTGTAAGTATGTCTCCCAGTGATTAGGCTTTTATGTTACTTTGAATGATAGATGAGAGGGGAGGAGGAGGGTATTGGAGGAGAGGAAAGGTGGTGTTGCTGACACAGTAGTTTAAGACAACTTTCTTCGTTATACTTTTTTAAAGGCTTTGCCACTTTTCTATCTTCACTTCTAAAACTTGGCACAAAAAACGCTTCACTTTAGAAGATGGGAAGAGTATAATCTCAAAATGGTGGGGGCGGCTGTGGTCCAGGAGGTAGCGTGGGTCATCTCCTAGCCCTAACCCAGCCAGAAGGTTGGCGGTTTGATTCCTAGCTTTTCTGGTCTGCATGTCGACGTGTCGTTGAGCAAAGCACTGGCCCCTTAGTTGCTCCCAGTGTGTGGGAATGCAAATAGGTGAATGGGCAAATAGTGTGAAATTGTTTTATACAAGTATAAGACCATTTAGAAAAATGGGGGGCAGCGAGGTGGCAGCAAGAGGGGGATGGGGTAAAAGGGCATGAAACACGTAACATCAATTTATTTCTAATACAAATGAAGTGGTCGGGAGTAACTGTATTCAGTATTCACAACTGTGGGTTAATGTCTAAGAAAACCACATAGTGCACCTGCACCATAATCAGTAAGAACATCTTGCACACAGATTACATTAACTGTTGACAATGGATGGTACAGTTCATTGATCAAAACAACACAATGGTTTTTTTTTCTCCCTTTAAATAACTGTGGAATCAGACAGGCTACACATGTTGTGTCTTGTTTGAACTATTTGTGTTCAATTAACTGGTGTCCGTCCCTGCTAACAGAGGCAGCTGGTCACTGGATTTCATTTCAGTGATTGATGGCAAGAATGGCCAGTATACCCAACTCACATGCACTTATTTCTTCTCTGCTAGAGAAGGAATAATGTACTCTGCTAGCACAAGGCATACAGAGAGTCTAAACAGAAATTACCTCCATGAATCTGATGTTAGAGATAAGTATAATTAGTTAACCACAGTGGTCTTTTTTTTCTGGAGCTTTGTATGTGTGTGCTTCTATCACATATTAATCTTCTGTTTTGAAAAGATGCTATTACTTGATAGCACTGGGACATATGAAGAACTAATTCCAAAATTAGATGTCTGTCTTTAAATAAAATTGATTCACTCTATTATAAAATATGACTTCATAAAGGAAAGCAATAGTTTTAAGATTCATATATGTAGATGCACTTAGATGAAATATTTAAAACATGACTGCTGAAAGCTGATGAAGTCTGATGTCTTGATTTCCTTTTAACAATTCTAACTTGCATTAATGGAAGTCCTCAGAGGTGGAAGGTGTCGATCCTCTTGCTTCGAATCTTTTTTATTCTGATTCCATCTCCATTACTTCTTGACGCGCACCCTGTGCATTTAATAAGCTAAGTTATTCAACCTTGATGTTTGTTTCATCAGTGCAAATGAAACCTGGGATTCTCTAACTTTTCTGTTTTGGGCGGGGGGGGGGTGCAATTTAAAGCAACATCCCTCCTGCTGTACTGCTTAAAGAAGAAAGACATACTCTGGTCTTTGAGTAGCAGTATTGATGTCATCTATATTCATGCTGGCTTGTTTCTGATACATTCACTTGATCAGGAAATGTCATTGTATTTCATTAGCATTTGTACATGAGTGAACTATGAGCTTACCTTGGGCACAAATAAGACACAGCTTTTTGCTTGCAATGGGGTTGCAGTGCCCCCAAGTGTTTTTTTAGATTAATTTCATGCTTTTATTTGGTTGAACCACTAAAGAACAATCCAGTTTGTGTGTCTTTTTTTGAGAAATCACTGTGGTGCCAAAACTACAATATTCTTGAATCTCCAATATGGTTTCAGCTGATGAGGCCACCTAACCACTGCTGACCATCCAGCACTTTAAACACTATCAAGTCACCAGAGCACAACTAATAATGGATTCTGAATGTCAGAATTAGGAAATCGTGGTTAGTTACATTAAGAATTAGAGTACACCTTGAGACATGGAACAGCACATTCACTCACCTGTCAATGCTACAAAAACTGATCATCCAAATTTCAAATTGCACATTTTATGGAAGTAAAAGTGTGCAATTTAAATTAAATGCTCTCAGTTATTACAAATACGTCAGCAAAATCTTGACCCATCAGTTGTGTTATAAACAGAGCTATTGTTTTTTTGTCATGTAAAAATGGTCCTAGTTTATACTGTAGATTAACGTATATCAAAAGGAAGACCCTCTACCAACTTTATGTATTTAAAATACATTAGTTGACTTTTCATTTCACACATACATCTACTGCATCTTGAAATAGCATCCCGATGTAAAAAAAAAAAGAAAAAAAGAAGATTAAACAAAAAATATATTAGTTTGATTTATGATACCTTATTCTGTAAACAGAAAATGATCAAGTCAATCATCCGGTTCACAACAGGTTTATCACTAGGAATTGATACTGCAGGTCCCTGGATACGTCTTACTTAATCACAGAAGAATAAGATTTCTACTCTTAGGAAAATGGCTCTGGGACTTTAATATTGAAATGCTACTCTTAATTGGAAGATATTTATCTCCAATTATCATTTTAATGTCAATGGGTCATCTTGATGGTAATTAATCAAAACATATCATTCCAGCTGACACAATTTCAGCAGTACCAGTACCACAATGTTGACTACACTGTATCAAATAATAGCTCTATAATGATCCTCACTAACTGTAGCTAACATGCCTGGCATTTATTAAAAGAACTGAATGCTATGGAAGCCCAGATTACTTATGATTGCTATCAGGAGAGACATGTCCTCCTCTCAGCTCTTTCATTTTCCATAATGTGTTTCACATTTCAGCATGCATACTGGAGAAATCAGGTTCAATTTCAGAAGCATTTGGATCTTTCATCTTCTCCAGAATATTTTTCAAAGAGCTGTTGTCACATAAGTAAGTAGGTGAACAAAACAGCTCAGAGATAATAAGAGGTGAATGAAAGTGAGTTAAAATGAAAGGAGAATATTTTTGTGGGGGATGAATTTATGAGAAAACAGGTGTGGGAAGATAACTGATTATGTATCTGTTTTTAAATGGGTCTGTTTTTCTAGAGTCCAAGCTCAAGCATAAAGTTTTGTGTAAGTAAACATTTAACATTCAAACTCAGTGGTCAACCAGCCACTAATTATACATGTATTTTGGGTTGACTTTGACTCATTTGTGAATGCCTATAACACAACCTCTCACCCCTCCGTTCATCATCAGTCCAAACCAAGATGAATACATTGAAGAGTCACATTGAATATGTGAACAGATTATTAAAACAAAATCAGTTATCTTTGTGCCATTTTGCATTAAGCTGCCTAACAGCAGGTTTGGACCCATTTGGGACTCTGAAACAGGCTTCACTGACACAGCACAAATGCATATTAATAAACATGGCTGTCAAAGTCAACACTATATAATTTAACAATGTAATATTTTTTTACTCTAAGTACAAAGGTAGCATTAGACCATGAAAGTTCATAAAAATATGCTCATGGTAGTAAGTTGTCACAATGATTGCAAAAGTTCAGACCCAATGCAGACTTGGGACACAGCAGATTAAATCACAGGCACTTGTAGTGGTCAAACTTACATTTAGCAACAAGCATGTGAAAATTAACAAACAAACAAACAATAATGAATAATTTCTGTGCTGTAATCTTAATTAAACCACTTGTTAATATAATCAAAGTGTATTTAAAGCCTAGTGATATTATAAAGGTCAAATGCATTGTCCAATACTCTTTTCAGTGTCACAGGTAGTTTTTGCCTTAAGTAAAGTGATACAGTTGAAATAAAATGTATAAAAAGCACACAACAAACATTATTGTCATATTTATATTATAGTAACACTGGAAAGCATCTCATGAACAGAAATAACTGACAAACCAGCAGATTTAGCTAATTAGTTTCATACAGTATACACTTTAACAACAAATAATTTCACAATTTGCTAGCTATAGCAGATAATTTTACATCTCTTTCTATTTGTGCTATATTATTTCTTTATGTGCGTATTTATTCTTACATTAGTGTGCACAGCTGATGCGCATTTATTGGCCAGTTGGGGGCAGTAATATAAAGATTGTATTTGCGCGCCCTCAATTTATCAAGGCGAAGAAGAAACTTTTTTTTATTAAGCGATAGAAAATGGCTGACTGGGAGTGTGCTAATGTTTTCCTGCAGCTCCTGGAACAGTTTTAAGGTGTCCTACGACTGAGCAGGCACTGTTACGTTTAACAGAGAACCATTATGTTTAAAAAGGCGAAACGAGTTAACTTACGACGGAGGAATGAGTCCGATGAGGAAGAGCTGGATGAGACTCAGCAACCTCCGCTGGCGCCGACACTGCTTGGGCCTGTCGTCGAGCAAATCCCGTTTATTGAGACTTGTAATAACAGCATTACTGGAGCACCTAGCAGTACGGATAACTGTCCTAGCAACGGCTTACAACCTAGCTTTAACAGTGTAAGAGCTGTCAAGAAAGAAAAGAGGGGCAAAGACACACCTGCGGTGCCAGGACCCACGAAAGTTAGTTTGCTGAGTTTCGACGACGAAGAAGGTAACAGTGATCAGGTGCTAAGTTAGCTAACTGGTTAACATTAGCTAAGGAAAACGTGTTGTTCAGGCAGGTTCAGGCATTAACGTTAACATTTTGTGTCTGAGTAGGATACGATGTCATGTTTATAATATAATAAACCATTATAAATTTTGATCTAGAATTGTTCCTACTAACTTATCTCGGATCATGCGCATGGCTAACGAATCACCGCGCTTGCTGTAATTAACTATACATGTTCGTAAACAGAAGGATCCGAGGTGTTCAGAGTGAAGAAATCCAATCACAGCAAGAAGATTGTAAAACAGCTGAAGAAAGAATATAAGGAGGATCTGGAGAGGTCTGGATATGTCAAACAGGAGATCAGATCAGGTGGGACACATCACATCCTCTGTCATCTCTGCGGTCTCATTACTAACCTGCCAAGCTAACTTTTCAGCCTCAGTGTTTGAAAATCAGTTTGGTTTAGCTAAAATCTGCTTAAACATTGGCACATGTCCTATCAAAAATATTCAAATTCTAGAGGGGAAAAACGTCATACCGTGTGGTACTGCGGTGGTACCACGGGGTAAAAGAGATCCTCATAATACATTGGCACTAAAGTTAGTCACTGTAGAATGAGGTGGAAGATTATACTTGTCTGCATTCAGAAAATAAGAGCATCATTGCATTTACTGTCTATAGGGATGCTTCAGTCTCCAATTCCAAATAATATTTTTGCCTCCCAAATTAAATCTAGTTGATAAGATTTAAGTTTTGAGGCTGAGGACATGTGCTAGTTGTATATTTGGATACAGTGGTAGACATTTACATTGTGGCATTAGTACATGTTTACAAAAGATTGCTATGCTTATTAAATGCATCAACTCCTGATATTGTTTTAATTAATCAGCAGAAGGAAACTGGATGTTCTTGTTCACTTCAGGAGCCTGAAATTTAATACCCATAACATTCCATATGTACCAATGCTAAGTGAGCTAGTGTTTCAGAAACTGTCCGGTAACATGCAGCATAATGACTCCTCTATTTCTGTATCCTATTTTCTTAGATGCACCACCTCAGCCTGCAGTTGCCATCAAAGAGGAAGTTACCAGTCGAGCAGGTAGTGAACATGGAGAGGAAGAAATGGAGGTGGACAGTGCTGATGAGCCTGAGGAAGACACGAGGAGTCTAGGAGTCCAAGCACCTAGTCAGATGTCCAAGAGTAACAACACTGGAGCAACATTCAACACACTTTCCTCCCTTGGCAGCCTGAGACCAGGTATTAAACTCACACTTTCAAGTTTAAGTGCTAGACTGTCATCACTGACACAACCATTTCAGCACTTCTGGAATGAATGTTCTAATTCCTCTTTCAACCTGTTAATAAAAAAGAAATATCATTGAGTTTTTTTTTTTTGTTTTTTTTTATTGACTTTTGGTACAAATCTTAGAATAGATTTTGAACTATTTTTATAATTATTAGTCCTCTAATCTGTTGTTGAAGACCCTTTGGAAGTGCTTTCATGTCACTGCATGCAGCATCATGCCTTCAAACCTGAAAGTCTTTGTGGTTTTTGTACACACAGCCGCACAAGTACTTAGCTGTAGACCTACTTCTCTCTTATTCTAGGGGAGATCCCTGATGCTGCATTCATCCATGCTGCCAGAAAACGCCGGCAAATGGCTAGAGAGCTCGGGGGTGAAGCCCCACTTGTAGAGAAAGAGGGTCTCACGAAACGTCTGGTACAAGAAGACCAAGATGTCAGTGACAACGAAGACGAAGACGAGAAGAGGATCAGCTTCAGTGGAGTCCAGAACAAAAGCCAGAGGCAAAAGATAGCTGAGGAAATAGGTACAGTACAAAAATGATGCATCAACCATGCATTGATTATATACTGTTGTTTTCAGTCAGTTGTCTTCAAGACATAAACATCCCCTCACACATACAGGTATTGAGGGTAGTGATGACGAAGCACTGGATACAGGTCAAGATGAGGAGGTGAGCCGCTGGGAGCAGGAGCAGATTAGGAAAGGAATCAGCATACCCCAGGTAAGTCTTATAACAACTGTAAAATATTTTATCTTCATGTAACTCCTGAAGGATGATGTGTGTTCTTCTCCAGTTTTCTTATTGTTTCATTCACGTGGTGCTGTTCAATTTTATAAAGTTGGACTATAATTTATGTCTGACAGATTATTATTACTAGATTAATAATTAATAGATTAATTGATGCAAAGAATTATTAGTTGCACCACTAATGAATAAGTGGGAGACAGCAGTGGTGATATTAGTCTTAGTAGTAAAAGTATTATGTGTTCTTTGTAGGTCCAAAGCAGCCAGCCCGAAGGCAACACAGTCTACTACCAGAACAGCTACGAGAGCCAGCCCTATGGCTCTTCCTACAGCATGCCTTTTACCTACAGTGCTGTGGCCCCACAGGCTTGCAAGCCAACTATCCGTGCAGACAATGGCTCTGTTCACTATGGGGCCTCTATAAGTGATCTAACTCCGGTTTCCATTGATCTGGTAAAGAAACGCCTGCAGGATAGGTAGGTTATGTGGAAAACTGCTGCAACATCTAATATCAGTCTTCAGCCCAGCTGCTGCCGTCTCTGTGTGCTGTGGCTCTGAAAACCCAGCAAAGCTACCCAAAGATTTATGGGCCACATAGGGAATGTGGGGTCTGGAAGGGAGTTACCTTTGTCCCCCTTATTACAAGTCCTTTGTCAACTAGGAGTGCATTATTTTAGTTCATTGTCTTCATTTGTCATTGTGTTCATAATATTTTTATTCTTCAGTTTTCATGATGTGTTTTTATTTGATGAGTGGACTCGGCTTGTTTACGTCAGCACTTAAGATTGGACTAGATTGTTTGTCCTTGGGCCCGTCTAAGTCATCCTTACTGTCTTTCCCATCATGTGTCTGTAGGCTCAGCCAAATGTGTGCAGGCCACAATGCAAACGCCAAGCGCCACAAACAGATTGAAGAAGACCTGGCTGCCTCTGAGAGCGCCATACAGCAGCTGGAGGGCTCGTCCAATGACAATGCAGATCAATATAAATTCTTGCAAGAAATGCGAGGGTATGTTGGAGACTTGCTTGAGTGTTTCAGTGAAAAGGTAAGGGAGAATTTATCTGCTGTGTAATTAGCTGTTTACTGTTTTGTGTCTGTGTGATTTCTCACCATTAAATGTGCATTTTAATGGGATAAAAAAAATCTGTTTTTGAAGCATTAATTGAGAATTCTATGAAGCCTGTTTGTCATGT